TGTCCAATTATCTTAACCAACCATCCAATTCTTTGTTTTTCAGTTACATGAAGTAAAGCTTTGTTTGAGCTATGATGCACAGCAAAACCCAGGAATGCATTTCCCAGCATCAAAAACTACTTGAGCGAATTAATTCCTGGGACTTTATTGTCTTCCTTAATCATTAACCTAAACCAGTTAACACAGCTCAAGAGAAACTCCTAAGTCCTAGCTATGTGACACTTCTTTATTTTCTATCCTTTGCAGTCCTTGATCAAGGGCAGAGGCAACACTATATCCTACCTTTACCTACATTAACTTTTCTACTAAACTAACCTCTATTACAATCCCTTGCTGTATTTGTTAAACATCAAAATTATGTTAAACTAACACTATTATTGTATAAAATCATTAAGTTAAACAGCAGTTTAAGAAGAAATCATCTTCATAATACTCCACAGGTAAAAACTCCCAGTAGAATGGGATCTTTCCATGAAATAATCATACTACATTAAAGGCAGTGGGGATCCCCCTGTACTCGCTCACACCATGCTGGATTCAGGGGAAGATGACAGCAGTGAACATGTAAAGGCACAGCAGTAGCAAGACATTCTGGAGTGGAAACCTTCAGGGCCTTGCCTATCAGTTTCACCTCTCAGTGCCTGGGCATTCTGGTGGGCCCAGCTCCCACCAGAATGAATAACTCAAAATATTTACCCTTTGTGTTCCCACAACCCCAGGAGCATCTTACCTGCCCACCCCTAGACTAGCTAACCGACTGACTTAGAAACCCTCTTCACTGACCTGGATAGCTCATTGAGTACTGACTGCTCTTACAGAGGACCCAAGTTCAGTTCCTGGCACTCCTGTCGGGAGGCTCATAGCCCACCCATAACTCCAGTCCAGGGGATCACAGGCTCTCTTCTAGTCACTGAGCAACTGCATTCACGTGCAAACCTCCACCCAGACATTTTAAAAGCTAAAATATTTAGAAATCCTCTTCAAATAAAAATGTTTAACTTTCCAAATTTACTATTTGTTTGTATGTTTATGTTCTGGGAATCAAAATCAGCAAGCATATTTACCCAGTAAGCCATTGCACAGGTCCTTAACTTCTTAAATAGTCCTGGTTACAAACCTATTGGTAATTGCACCCTTCTGATTTTGCCATTATTTCTCTTTTTGACACTGTTGGTACCCAATGTTTATACCTCAAAAGGGTTTCTTCTCTCCCACCACACCCTGCTCTCCCATCCAGTGGGAGCACTTCTGTACCTCAAAGGCCTCCAAAGCCTCCTTAGCATATCTCAGTTCCCTTGCCAACTACTCCCACAGTATGACAGGATGCCATGCATTTTACATGCCAGTCCCTTTGCCCATTCACCTCCCTAGTTTTAGCAACAAGGTCTCACTTCCTAGGAAACCCTTCAACTGGTCCTAGAACTCTGGGGACACCCTAACCTTCTTTACTAACATAGGACAATTTCATACCACAAAGCGCCCTGACACAGGCACCTTCCCAAATCCTGACCTTGACTGTTCAGCAAACCCTCAACTCTCCTAAATATACAAAGTCCTAAATATACAAAGGCTATCAGCCTTATCTGTCCACTTCCAACACCCTGAAACCAAGCCTCACAGGAGCATGAAGAACAGGCAAGGCCCAAGGAGTGACAGGAGCTGGCCTTTAGCCTTCCTTTTCCACACCCAGCCCTGGGAGCTCATGAGGTAACAGAGTTAAGACACTTTGAATTAATCTATAGTTTATTGCACAATTGAGGAGGTAGCAGAAGCTGGCAATTAGTTCAATAGACACACTCTTGTCACTAGTCACTTCAGACACTAGCAGATGGGGACAGGACACAGCCCTTTGAGATGCAGGAGTCTCCCATGCCTGGACCATTACGAAACACAGTAAAAAGCTGTTCCATGATGTTCTGGCTCTGAGTGGGGAGTCTCCAGTTCCACTTTGAGTGGTGGTCTTGCTGTCCACTCCCTGACCCTCTGATGTCCACGAACACCTATTAAAAAAAAGAGAGAACAATGCTTTAGATTCCCACCTACATAACCACAGAGTCTCTCACAACTAGCCAATTAGAGGCTGAAACCTGGTCAGCTAGACAGACTGAGGGGACCAGAGTTCCTGCTGCCCACATCTGTCCATCTCCCAACACTGCAGTGTGAGCAGGCCAGCCTTCTGCCACACAGGCGCCTGGAGGCCTCTCTTCCATAGCCACGGGAGGCAGGAAAGGCTGTTACACCAAAGGATGTGACCGGGTTCACAGGACCAGAATAAAAGCCCTCAAGGTAGGAAGCAGCTTCTACTATCTCCCACAAGCCTATGACACTGCCCAGTGCTGGCAGAGAGCCTGGTGCAGCAGCCAGGGGACCAAGAGGCTGTGAGAGGGATTTGTTCGAAAGCACCAGGGTTTGGCAAGGACAGCAGACCTTCCAAACACGGGGAACAGGCTTTCAGCATCCTCTCCCTGCAGTATCAATGACCAGGGCACAGGCAGCCCACAATCACTTTCGAATACAGGGGCAGAAAGAAGGGAAGCCACTACAGGCAGCTTAGGAAAGGGCCAAGCTGTGACAAGTGGCCAGGAAACAGTAACCATTATTTATAGCCCCTATCTGAAGTAGCTTCACAAATTCCTCAAGCTTCTCAAATGCAGCACTGCTAGGAATCCCCTAGAGAACTTGCTAAATACCGCTGGCTCCAGGCATGCTCTCTTACATGCTCCAAGTTGACCTTACTAAAGACAACAAGGGAAAGGACAAACATGGGCTGCTTCTGAGGACTCACCAGGTCAGCAAATCAGGATGGGACAGGCTGCTTCCTAACAAGTGCCCCAAAGTCCAGTGAAAGCTGCCTGCACCCCCAAATGTAGTCCCTCCTTAACCCAACAAGCACAACATACCCAAACGAACCGAGGGGCACATAACTTCCCAGGGGCTCTGGAAGCAGCAATAGGGAACAGCCTCTGCTTTTCCTCATGACTGAGGCCTTTGCTGGACAACTGGTACTCTCCTGTGAAGCATCTGGGATTTATGCCTGGCAGGGACACTGTTCCAGCCACTTCTTGAAACTTGACGATTGCTGACATACATGTCAGAGATCAGCTGACAATCCTACAAAGACAAACCACAGTAAGTACCCCACAGCCCACCAAGATGTTCAACAAGAGCCAAGCTGGGAGTGGCTGCTCTTCCTGGGAACTCAAGGCCCCACTCACACTCAACACCACACTGAGACATTCCCAAGCCTTCTGTTCTTTTCCCATCCTCCACAGGTGAAGGCTGTGAGTCTTGGCTATCACCTCAGGACTACAGGTTTATTTCTCCCCCTATAATGAACACACTGTAATTTCTGACATTAAAGAAACTGTCTTTCCCGCTTTCAGCTTTGGTAAGAAGCAGTTTGGACGTGTGTAGTGGTTTGAATGAGAACGACCCCATAGGCTCACATGTTTGAATACCAGGTCCCTAATTGGTAGAGCTGTTAGGGAAGGATTAGGAGGTGTGGCCTTATTAAAGGAGGTGTGTCATGGTGAGGGAGGCTTTGAGGTTCCAAATTACACATCCCAGTCTGCCCTCTGCCTAGTGGTTGTGCTTCAAGTAGCTCTTAGCTATTGCTCCAGCACGGACATGGCTACATACCTGCCTGTCACCATGGTGGTCATGGACTTACCCTCAATAAACTCTTCACGGGTACTAGTAGTCACACACGTGATTTATGTGGATTCACACGCACACATAAAAAATTCATAGAAAACCCCTTCCCAAGTGGCAGTGATAGAAGGTAGGCCACAAGGGGAAGAATTCCTCAAGGAGAGAGAACAGCATAGCTGCTTCCTCCTGAACCTCTCTCGTGTAGGCTGCTCACTCAGTTTACAGGAGACAATGCCTCACGAGGGACCGTCCTTTGTCTTTATTTGTTCCAGTCAGAACCCTGACTCTTGACTGTCAGAACAAAGTGAAGTGTATGCTAGGAGTCAAGCAAGGTAACACTTTCTACAAGGTCTCGGGTGTCCTGAGATGAGAATGGATATGGAGGCTGAGATAGCTTGTTAAGGAACAACCAATGTCTGTGCTCTACACCCTGCCCTTGAACTCGTGGAGGCCAGCCCCAGATTCATATCACTGCCTCACTGGCAGGCAGCAGGGGGCACTCAACAGTCAGGAAGCGGTGTGGGAAAGCACCAGGGTTTGGCAAGGACAGGTGTGGCTCCTCCAAACACGGGGAAAGGCTTTCTGCATTCTCTCCCTGCACTATCAATGACCAGGGCACAGGCAGCCCACGATCACTTTCGAATACAGGGGCACAAAGAGCCATGGACAAGATGAGAAATGGTTAAACTGGAAACAGATGGACAGATAAACACAGCCAGATTTACAAAAGAGAGGGAGGAAGATGATTCTGGGGGCTGGAGAGATGGCTCAGTGGTTAAGAGCACTGGCTGCTCTTCCAGAGAGGTCCTAAGTTCATTTCCCAGTGACCACATGGTGACTCACAAAGGCCTGTAACAACATCTGGCGCCCTCTTCTGGCCCGCAGGCATACACACAGAACACTGCATACATAATAAATCAATCTTAAAAAAAAAAAAAAAAAAAGCGCTCAGAAGACTGGACTGGGAGTGGTGATGACAATTCTAACTAGCAATGGCAACTAGACTTGCAGCTAGGGCTGGATTAACGGCTGCCCTCTATTCACATCTGCAGCAGCCCCAGCACTTACATAACCTGCCCTACCAGTGTAACAAAATTCTCACATCACAGGGACAGGTAGGCCCCAATTTCAGACGAGAAAACCAAGGACCAAAGAAGGTACAGAATCTACAGAGAGCAGTGACTGAGATATGGGTAGTGGATGACCTCCAAATCCTTTGTGCTGACAACGCACCAAAGTAAATCAGGGACAGGGGGACTGGGGACACAGATCTTAAGTGAGATCAGCAAGAAGCATGCATACCTCAAAGCCCCCAAGCGCAAATGTGGATCTGATGAACTCAACCTAACTCACCTCCACACGTGCAGATACAATCTGAGAAACCACATTTATTCTTGTGGACACAGAGCTCCAATGCCAGGGGACAATCCTCACTCAGGAGCACAATGGTCCATCAGTCCAGAAGGATGGAGACAGCTCTTCCCGCCATTGTGCACCCAAGCTGTTATTTCTGCAAACAATAAGCCCAGGTGAGTGTCCTGAACAGCACCCAGTTAACTGGAGAGCAAACAGAATACACAGAAGCTGCCAGCCAGCAAACCATGGGGCAAGGACTCCCTCCCTCCCCTCCTTTGAAATCTGTAACTATGTAACATGTAACATGGACCTGAACTGAACTGTCCTCAGAGTCTCACCATTCACAACGGAATGAAAAAAAGAAGGAAAGCAAAGGACATGCTCTTAGATGCGGTGGAGGAGAAAGTTTATTACAGCTATGTGGGAGGGCATAGTTAGGGTCCAGAGTGGACAAGATCAGACTGAGCTGGGCCACGTGGCTGGTGGAGGGGAAGAGAGGGGAACCAGGTGCAGCAGCCAGGAGGCCCAATGTTCCAAAATCGGTAGGTAACCAAACTGTCTGGTTATACAGGGAAAGATCTTGGGGGAGAAGGGCCTTGGGCTGTAGAGTTCAGGGTAGAGGGAGGGGTATGCCAGCCAGCCATACCTGTAACAGGTACAGAAACTTAACATCAGCCATGTGACCTTTGGTCTTTCTGGCCCCCTCCAGGCTTCTCTCTGAACGCCACACCAGAAGGCCATGCAGAGGCATCGGTGTAGTAGCACTTACCCAAGCATCCTCTCCATCGACAGTGGGCGCCCACCAAGGAGTTGAAGACAGTAGGGGGCTCCAGCTGCTGCAGAGGCATTAATGTGTAGATCCACGGAGCTTCCATCGGTTTCCAGGAGGGCTGCACAGCCTACGGACCCGGCAGGAAAGCACATGGTAAGTACAAGGCAGGGGACGCCGCGCCAGGGGTCCTGGGAGGGTCAACTTAACCCTGGTCCACGGGTTCGCCTTGGAAGGATTCCAAAAACATGGGACACAGGTCGTAAACAACGACCGACTTTGTGCAGGAGACAGACATGACTTTGGTGCTTCAGACACCACAACTCAAAGGTGGATGGCTGGGACATGAAAAGCACGGGGCTCGATGCTCTCCTCCAGACACAGGCCCGGGGTCCACTGACTGCCCGCCGGCCTCAGTTTCCCCAACAAAGAGAACGGTGCTACCCTCGCGCCCCGCTGCACTCACCTTGGCGCCCTACACTGGGCAGAGGAGCATACACTGGGCAGAGGAGCAGCCAGCCAGGAAGCTCGCAAGATGTCTACAGATTTCGGTGGATGGCACTGACCAGACAGCAACCACATACACGCGACAGGAAGCTTCAGTCTTAGCGTTGGGAGCCGGCGGAAGTACAGGTACTAAAGCTGGCTGCAGCCTAGAGCGGCAATTCCGATCGGCAGGAACTCCAGCGCCCCCCGGAGCAGAGGAGGAAAACAGCTGCTCGGACATGTTAAATTAAAAAAAAATTTTTTTTTCTTTCCTTTTTTTTCCTTTTCGGTTTTTTGAGGCAGGGTTTCTCTGTGTAGCTTCGGAACCTGATCTGGAACTCGGCTCTGTAGACCAAGCTGGCTTCGAACTCACACAGAGATCCGCCAGCATCTGCCTCCCCAGTGCTGGGATTAAAGGCATGTGCCACCAATGCCCAGCTCATGTTAATTTTCAATAGTGGCAGGGTTTACAAGGAAATCTTCCTTCATTCCATTCCCTTTTTGTTTAATTGTGCTGTAAGAATAAAGTCTACCTTATTCACTACTGATTCCTTAGCACCTGGATCAGTACCTGCCACGAAGGAACAAACAATGAGTTACAGTCACGTTTTGTTTCTTCAAAACCACGCCATGGAGATGCCAGTAAATGGTTTGAGGCAGGACTGCGAAGGTGAGAAGACGAGCCCAGAGAAATGGACAAAGAATGAATATTTTGCTAAACGTCTTCCTAAAAATCTCAAGGGAGCCAAGCTGTGGTGGCACATGCCTTTAGTCCCAGCACTGGAGAGGCAGAGGCAGGAGGATCTCTGTGAATTTGAGGCCAGCCTGGTCTACAGGGTTAGTTCCAGGACAGGCTCCATAGCTACTGGGAAACCCAGTCTCAAAAAAGCAAGGGGAAAAAAATCTCAAGGTTTTGGCAGATGGGTGTTATGGGTGATAGGAAGAAGAGGGAAACATTGTCTTAGTGATAAAAAAGATGAAACGGAGTCACCGCCTCAGTTTGGCTGGAAGATCCCAGCGCTGAGTCAGACCAATTTTGGACAAGGAGGCGAAGGTGAAATTCTTGTCCGTAGACAGTGGGTCAAGGTCAGAGTGTGCGTGTGTTTGGGCAATGGGTATCACCCATATCACCCACAGGACATCTTAGCTAGTTCACTCTCCATCCTCAGTGTCCACAGGAAGCATTTAAGAGTGATTCTTGTGACCCAGCTTTTCTAGTGAGAGGGTATTAACAGTGTAGAAGGAACAATGGAAGGGAGAGGGATTTACACTTTTTAGGATGTTACAGTAGGGCACAGGCCAGTCAATAGAGATGTCCCTTTCACCTTCTACTTCCCTCCACCAGGCTGTTCCTGGGTGTTGTAAGAGTGTCTGGGTGGACAGAAGTCTCCTAGTGGAGAAGCAGGTTTGGATATGAGAGAAGACCTCCCTTAGAAGACTGCAGCATCCCTCCCTGCTCGCCCCCAGTGTTCTCCCATAGCTGGTTGGAAAGGGAAAGTTCTTACCTATCAATGGTTATAGAAAAACATGCTTAGGCTAAGCATTAAAATAAATGAAAAGAAACTGCTTTCAATTTCTAGTGACTGAAGAGTTATTTTATCTTGTATTTTGTGCATACTAAGAAGGCATGCTACCACTGAGCTACATCCCCAGCCCTTGTAGCCCCAGCTGGACATTCAGCATCCAGAATGTGGGGACTATAGGTCTGTGCCACTGTCCTAGTTAGAGTATTGTTGCTGTGAAACGACACCATGATCAAGGCAACGCTTATAATGGAAAGCATTTCATTAGTACTGGACAGTGCAGAGGTTTAGTCTGTTATCTTCATTGTAGGTGGTGTGCAAGCAGACATGATGTTGGGGAAGGAGTTGAGAGTTCTACATCTTGACCTGAAGACAACAGGAAGTGAACTGAGTGCCACACTGCATAACTCGAGCATTGGAGACCTCAAAACCCACCCCCACAGTGACACATTTCTTCCAACAAGGCCACACCTCCTAATATTGGCACTCCCTTTGGAAGCCATTTTTTTCTTTTTTTTTAATTTTTTTTCTTATTTTACATATCGACCCCAGTTCTCTCTCCCTCCCATCCTCCCATGCCCCTCCCACAGACCTGCCCCATCCCATCCCCCATCCTCTCCTCAGGGAGGGTGAGACCTTCCATGAGGGATCATCAAAGTCTGTCAAATCATTTGGGGTAGGGCCTAGGCCCTCCCCCACATCTCCAGGCTAAGGGAGTATCCCTCCCTCCATGGGAAATGTGCTCCTGAAGTCTGTTCCTGCACTAAGGATACACATTCAGGGGTTCTGGGTTGGTCCTATGCTGGCTTTCCAGCTATCAGTCTGGGGTCCATGAGCTCCCCTTATTCATGTCAACTGTCTCTGTGGTTCTCTCCAGCCTGGTCTTGATCCCTTTGTTTATCACTCCTCCCTCTTTGCAATTGGATTCCAGGAGTTCTGCTTAGTGTTTAGCTGTGGGTGTCTGCTTCTGTTTCCATCAGCTTCTAGATGAGGGATCCAGGATGGCAAATAAGGTAGTCATCAATCTCATTATTTGGGAAAGGCATTTAAGATAACCTCTCCACTATTGCTTAGATTTTCAGTTGGGGTTATTCTTATAGGTCTCTGGACATTTCCCTAGTGCGAGATTTCTCTTTAAATCTATAATGGCTCCTTCTATTACGGCATCTCTTTTCTTGTTCTTCTCTATTCTTCCCCTGACTCATTCTTCCTGCTCCCTCATGTTCTCTTCTCCCCTTCTCTTTCTCCTAACTACTCGCCCCACCCCACCCTGGGCCTGCTCCCAGTTTGCTCAGGAAATCTTGTCCCTTTCCTCTTCTGTGAGGGACCATGCATGTCTCTCTTAGAGTCCTCCTTGTTTCCTAGCTTCTCTGGCAGTATGGATTGTAGAAAGCCATTTTTTTTCTCAAACCACCACAGCCACCATACCCAGCATTTTAAACATTTTTATTTAGACAGGTCTCACTATGGAACCCTTACATGTTTGGAAGCCTGGAACTCACTACATACACCAAGCTAACCTCAAAAGACCTACCTGCCTCTGCTTCCTGAGTGCTGGGTGAGGATTGTGATACCTCCAGCCACACCCAGCTTTTCTAAAAACTTTTATTTTTTTTAAATGACACAAAAGAGTTATAGGACATATCCAGTACTTTCTAGATGAAAGGAAAAGGCACATCCACTTAGCAAGTATAAAGGGAGAAACAAATATGATTCTATATCAGGATTCTTCTTTCAACATACAGGTTTTGCTAATAAAGAGTCTGGCTAGAGCTGGGAGAACAAAATTCTACCCTCTGAGAGTTTGTGACCTCACAGTGGCTGCGGATCCCTGAGGCCTGGGACTCTTCCCTAGAGGAAGAGGAGGAGTCAAGTTTGCCCACAAAGACTATACCAAGGAGGTGATGCCTAAGGTCGGGGCAGGAAGTCAGCCACAAGCTCATTGAGGTCTGCAAGAGCTCCAGGCCCTATCCCTGAGCACAAATGGCTGCCCTGCTGGGTGCTATGCTATACCTGTCCATTGTCCTCCTCTGCTTCTTTCTGCTCATCTGTTACTGCATCTATCTGCAAGACTAAGCTCCAGCTCCTGAGGTTGGGGGCTGAAACCTGGTGGGAGCCTCAGCCAGCCTGGCATCCAGGGCCACTCAGCTGTCCCTAAACTGCTCCAGGGACTACTAGCACATTCAGTGGTACAGGGCATACAATTGGCATCGTAATCTGGTAAGCAGAAGTGCTGGGAATGCATGGTTGAGCTGATGCCACAAAAAATGTATGACTAAAGGGACATCCTTTCCCAGGAAGCCCCCTCTGGTGCAGCAGAGTGGCCCTATGTTATGACATCCGATGCTTAAACAGCAGGTCTTTCTAATAAAGACTCCTGAGAATATCTCCTAATAGTGTGCTAAGCAGAAGAATATTAGGCGTGAGATAGTGAGATTGTGCAAGGCTGTTGGTGACAAAGGCGAATATACAAGCAATGGAGGGGATTCCTGAAAAATGCAGTCCCAAACTTCTTGGATTCCAAGCTCAATGTTTGGTCACCTTCTGAGCCAAAGTGTATTCGTTGCTTCTCTTATCGCTGCAACAAGAGGCCTGGCACAAGGTCCTTAGGGAGGGGAAGGTTTCTTTTGGCTCACAGTTTTAGGTTGCAGTCCATTGAGATGACAGGAATGTCAGCTGGTTGCACTGTATCTGACATCAGAAAGAAGAGAAAGACAATGCTGCCCCCCCCTTTCTTATTCAGCCTCTGACCCATAGAATGATGCTACCCACATTTAGGGTGAGATTTTTCTACCCCTGTCCACCCATTTTAGAACCCCATTCCCTAAGTGATTCTAGATCCTGTCAAGTTGATAACCAAATTATCCCTCACACCAAGGCTCCTCACACCCGTGCTTTTCATAGCTTCAGGAGAAGTCGCCTCCCGCCCTCTGATGACCATCATCTAACTTGTCTCAGTGTTTGAGGATGTGCTTGTCACCAATGGGATCCTAAGGTTTGCCTCTTAACTAGATTTCAGATCTGTCCTGGCCAACCATGGGCTGTGTGGAAGGAGTACCTGCAACCAAGATGAAGGCAGGAGGGTAGGTGTCAGGAAGCCTGCAGGAGAGCTGGCCGGGGTGAGTCTCAGTTACCAGAGATAAAGATGCAATTAATTTCCAGGTCCTTGATTCTCAAGGCTAATCCTCACCAGCTGGAGCGGCAAAGGCACCATTTGCCAGGTGTGGTGGTACACACCTTTAATTCCAGGAGGCAGAGGCAGGTCGATCTCTGTGAGTTCAAGGCCAGCCTGGTCTACAGAGTGAGTTCCAGGACAGAGAAATCCTGTTTGGGAAAAAGAAAGACACTATTTCCAGCACTTCAAAGGCACTGAACTATGGCTGTCTTGGCCTGTAGTTTGTCAGTATTTTTAAAAGATATTTATGTCTACATTCAAATGTGAATTGAACGGTAACTTTCATTTACACCCTTTAACTGTCATCATGGTAAGTGTGAAGGGAGGCCTGCTTTCTTTCTCGTGATTGTCTGGGAGACTGTATATGGATGAAGTCATTATTTTTGCTTTGATTTTTAGCTTTACAGAATTCACTGT